AACAACAAAAAAGTGTTAAATATTTAATTCATGTGTCATGTAAACAACTTTTTAAATACATATAATTTTTATTCATTATGATGAGTGTCTCTATCTTATTATGTACTATTGAAAACATATTTTATCACCTGGTATTTAAAGTGAAAACTGTTATTATAATTATAATTTAAAAATAATAAAAGTTGATTCTTTTTTTAATAAAACGAAAAAAATTAAAAAGAGGAATGCGGCGAAAAAGCATTTTTATTGATACAAATAACAAAGTTATGAATTAATATTTGGACTAAAATGATGTTGTTGACCCGATAATTATTATCGGGTTTTAAATGCTTGTTTGTTTTGATTGAATCAGATAATTATTAAATAATTATAACTATGAAACTACCGAAAGTTAATTCCATCAATTATTTTTGTTTTAAAAATCATTTAAAATAATTTTCTTGAAAAAAGTGGAATTAAACCCGATAATTCCAAAATATTTTAAGTGAATTAAACCCGGATTATACTGTAATAAAAAATCATATAAACAAAAATAATTTTTATTATGTGGTTTTCTTATTTTTGGATAGTTTATAATATTTTATTATAATGTGACAAGAATTTTCGAAAAAGAATATGAATTTTTAAAACACAATTTTCAGTGCTATTGTGTATTCAATAATTGTTGTGTCAATAATAATTTTATTGTTAATTATTGGAATATAATATTTTGTATATTTGAAGTACTTTTCAACTGATGCAGTGTCAATTGAAATATGGATGTTTTAACAAGCTATGTTATTATCATATAAATATTAAAGCTTCCATTTAATTAGATTCGTTTATATCATTTGTTGTAAACTTTTACTTGATTTTTAAGAAAGTTTAATATTGTCTAATAACTTTTGAGTTGTTTAAAATGCCAACACTATATAAATGTTCAAGATTTTATTTTTTTCCAATTTAAATTAAAGTTACCTGTTGATAAAAAGATTGTAACTGATTAAATAAAATATAATAAAATGCACACGGTGGGGTTCGAACCCACGAATCTTTCGAAATTGGTGCCTAAAACCAACGCCTTGACCACTCGGCCACGTGTGCTTACATATATTATCTATTTCCATTTTATTGAATCCATCTTAAGATATAAACTGTTAATAAAAAGTTGGTACTACCAATAAATTGCTTAAACCCAATTTCCTCATTTTTTGTTTTTGTTTGGCTTCCAAAAAATGTTGAATTGGTGTCCACAGTACCACATTATTTTCTAATATTTTTTATACTTATTAAAGAAAATTTTGTGTAAAACAGAAGAAAAAATTGCAAATTCGTCCTAAGATTTTTTAAATCAAACCGCTGCTTTTTGTTCGAACTTTTTGTAAATTAACAAATATTTCAAAATAAAAGCTGTGTGGATTTTAGACCAAATGAGACTTAAATGAAATAATAGATTAACTAAATAATAAGGCAAAATAATAGAAAATACAAAATATGAACTAAAACATAATGCCAAAACGAATAAACTTAATTGATAATAACAAATGACCAATAAACTGACCTTTTTAATACTTAAAATGTTGTTGACTTTTCTTAATATTTGAAATATCTTGCTTGGATACTCCAAAAAGTTTCATTAAATAATCATAAATCCGCCTTTCAGCTTAAGTTCTGGCTGCACCCTTGAATTTTTGTTCTCTCAAACTTAAAACAATTTTATTTTGATTTTTTGGTCATCCTGTTTGATTATTATTATTATTATAAAAAACATTGAAATTACACAAATTTTTAGTTTGTCTTCAAAAACGCGGCTTTAGAAGTAAAATTTAGATTTTTAAAAATTTTACTCGAAAAAAACTGCGGCTTTTTTCCTTGTTTTTTTAACAAAAAAATATTTAAACTATATTTAAAACTATATTTTATAGTAAAAATGTCCAGTACCACATTTTTGTTATTAGTTTACTGTATTATTTTTTTTCATAATAAATACAAAAATTTATAAACAATTAGATACTTAAAATTCTTAATTATTAATTATTATAATTTTAATAAAAAGTCAAAGGATACAATACAATTACTTCTTTGCTTTCTTCTTCTCCTTCTTCTCGTGGGTTGTTTCTTCGTGTTCAGTGTGCATGATTGAAGCAAGTGCATATGACTTTGTTGGCGCTGGATTGTCGTCCGTCTGGAATCTCTTTCCGCCCTCCTTTGCTCCGTTTCTCTTTCTTGGTTTTGTTGCCATTGAATGCTTTCTCTTTCAAAATCAATCTTTTATTTGGTGTTCTATTTCTTCAACACACTTTTGTTTGGGTTTCTTGATTTGTAATAACATCTGGGAAATTCCCACACAATGCCGTCATATACACGCTGTTGTTTTAAATAGTGATTCGCATCCCAAAACTGCAAGACACGACACACGACGTGTCGCCATTTGGCTGTTATTTTTGGTTTCTATTTATATTATTATAAATATCTTGGCTTCTGATACTCTGTGTTCTTAATTAATATTCACTAACAATTCAATAAATATATCTTACTTATTATATACACACAACACACATTTTTGTTGAAGGTTAATAATGATTTATATTATAATGACTAATAAACAGGATCTGATTTAAATGCTTTGAGTTAAAAATTGAATGAAAAATCAAATGTTACGTTGATTAGTTTATAAATTAAAATTTATTTTAACACTGTTTTTTATGTGAATATTAAAAATTTGCCCAACAAAGAATTGTAACATATCTTATGATTTTCATCAAATACAATAAATTTATAAGTTATTTAAATATAATTATTGTTTTAATATTATACCAATAGTGTCTAGTTAATGCCCAAATAAAATGTTGCCAAACTCGTTTTTTAAAACGAACTTTGTTAAATTTATAATATCTAACGAAAATTTAATCATATGTACAATTTCAAAAATAAATAGACTCCACATAGTATATTTAGTTTTTAAAAACATACTATTTGATATTTTATTTTATTATTGATACATTCAAAAATCACAAAAGAAAAAAGGTATTTATATTTAAAAATTATTTTACTCTTGAGTAAACCCACTCTTCAGAAGTTCTAATCTCATGAAGTTTTTGCTGTTTTTTAAATGAATAGAAAGAAAATACATATCAATTAATAAAAGTGTTTTTTACTTTATAAATTAAAATTGAGTTTTTAAAATTTTTCAAATTTTTTAAAAGCTAATTACATTTTTATGGTATTATTTATTGAATTTTTTATGTTTGTGTGTGTTATCCTATATTATAGTTTTTGAATAATACGATGATCATTTGTTCTTAATCACATTAATAAAATAACCAATTTTATTAAATATATTTATAAAACTTAGTAATTCTAAACATCACTTTAAAATTTTTTAAATTGTAAAATTTTAACGTTAAAAAACAAATGGGAATTGTCATACCAATTACTATAATAAAGAAGATTGCATCTGAAAGTTGTTTGCAAACTTTTCTTCGTTTGACAGAAACGTGTAAATATACCATGATATACCATACGATGAAGAAATATATAAAATTCTAAGTC